TGCCCGCCCGGGGTGTTCGCTGGCTCCCATCGCAGTCCCCGCTTGGCTTTGGCTTTTTCTGCTCAGTTCTGGCGTTTTGTGCCCCGTTCCCTGTCCGAGCAGCACGTGTTGCTGCTGCCTCTCTCCCGCCCTGGCATTCAGCTCCTTTCTCTGGGTTCTGGGCTCACAATACACAAAATACGGGCTGTCGGCGGGTCCGTCTCCGTGGCTGCCGCAGAACATGTGCAGGTCCGGATTGCGAACTGTGAATTGTGGATTCTGCCATTCCCTTCTCATTCCACACGAGCTCTCGGGCTCTGTCCCTGCCGCTGTGAGCTGGGGAGGGCAGCGGGGAGAATTCCCCTTGGTTCCGCTTCCCGGTGGGCTCTGCTGGGCTCAGACACAGCCACAGGGCTGCTGAGTGTGCCAGGAGGGGGTTTGGTGGGGTCACACACAGCCACAGGGCTGCTCAGTGCTCCAGGTGGGGTTTGGGGGGTCACACACAGCCACAGGGCTGCTGAGAGCTCCAGGAGCGGGTTTGGGGGGTCACACACAGGCACAGGGCTGGATCAGGGGCTGTAGGGACCAGCAGGGAGGCAGCTGGCTGCTCACAGGGGTTCCTGTCACCTCTCTCTGAGCTCACCCCAGGAGCCTTTGGCAGCAGCACCCCCAGTTACCCATTCAGGCTGCTCTGCTGTGCCTTGAGCACAGCCCTGGAGCTTCAGAGGCCCCTCTGACCAGGATATCGTGGGGCTGGAGGGGGCAGTGGCTGCTCCTGGGACAGCCTCAGCTCTGCAGGGCTGTCCTGGTACTGGAAATCCCCCACCACCAGCAGTGTCTGTGTTTTGGGCAAGTCCTGCTCCCCAGCTCTGCCCTTTTGTGGCTGTTCCTTGTAACTGGGTTTCCCTGGATTGTCTCTCCAGGCAGAGAGCGTGTTGCTGTTGTTACACAGAATTCTGAGTAGTTTGGAAACTTTAAAAGAGGGTGAGAAACTCCAACTCCCCTTAAAGCAAGCGAAGAACTTTTCTGTCTGCGATCAGGGAATAAATCCTTGTGCTGGGAGAGGGTTGTTTTTCCTGCACTGAACTGAACCCGGAGCAGCCGGGGCAAAGCCGGGAGGCAGCTGGAGATTGGCTGAGCTGTGGGATTTTCCAGCTGCATTTACATATCGCCCACTGCTCCGCATGCCTTTGTGTTTACATCACCGGGAGCGATCCACAGAGCACGCTGCAGCGGAAGAGGCCGAGGAGAAGGCTGTCCCCAGCTCAGGGCATGCTGCTGGCATTTCTTTGGCTGAGGAGAAGCCTGTCCCCAGCTCAGAACTGGGCATGCTGGTGGCATCTTGCCGGGCTCTGCTGCTCCAGGATGGCCAGGGGTGAGTGTGCTCCAAGGAGAAGGGTTTGCTCCGGGTGCCGGGTGTCAGGCAGCATTCCTGGGAAGCTGCTCCCCTGCAGCAGTGAGGGAGGAACTGTTTCCATCCCTCCAGGAGGCACCTGGAGCCCTGCAGCAGTTTAGCAGTGAGGGAGGAGCTGTTTCCATCCCTCCAGGAGTTACCTGGATCCTGCAGCAGTGAGGGAGGAACTGTTTCCATCCCTCCAGGAGGCACCTGGAGCCCTGCAGCAGCTTGGGAATAAGGGAGGAGCTGTTTCCATCCTTCCAGGAGGCACCTGGAGCCCTGCAGACTTCACCAGGGGTACCTGTGGCCTGTCCAGCAGCTGCTGCTGTGTTGGGCTGGTTTTCTGGTCCCTCAGAGTGACCTTTGCAAGGGTGTGGAGTGTTTGATTGCAGCAGCCCAATGCTGAGGTTGGTCTGGTGTTCCAGAAGTGGGAAATTCTTGGTGTTCCTTGGGCAGAGCTGTGAGCACAGCAGCCAGGCTGGAGGATTCTGTGTCCCCTGGAATTCTGAGTCACCCTGGGGCAGAGTTTAGTCCGTGGTGTTTGGGGTTGTGGGACACTGAGTGGTGCTTCTGTCTCAAAGCTGTCAGCAGATTTGCCATGATGGCAGTGTCCACATCCCCTGGTCTCTTTTGGAGTCAAGGATTTGGTGCTGTTTCTCCCAGGATCACTGATTTGATCAATGAGTGTTGGTGCCCACAGGTGCCTCCTGCTTGTTCTCAGTGGCAGAACCCAAGTGAGCTGTACAAAACAACAGCAGGTGACTGGAACTTGCTGGATTTTTAGTTTTTCTGAAGGAGATGATGCATTTCAGCTGGATCTCTGAAATGTTCTAGCCTCATCCAGAGGGCAGAGAAGAGTGTGTGTCACGAGGTGTCAAAGCTTTGGAGGATGCTGGGGGGAACAGGGGGTGGAAGTGCTACTTTGTGCTGCTTGAGTCATGGCTATGGGCTCAGGTTTGCTGTGACTTCAATCTGGAAGAATCCCACCATGTGCTGGGGTGGTTACAGCTTTCCAGAGGATGCAGTGCAGCCAGCCAGAAGGAAAAGCAGCTGGGAAAGGCCTCAGCCATGGCACAGGAGTTGGGGAATAGAGGAGAGAGGAGCTTTGATTGCTTTGGGTCAGACAGAGCTCCAGGAGAGCAGAGTCCAGGTGACACAAACATTGCTCTGGCCTCCTTGGAAGAGCAGAGGCCAAGTCTGTCCATCCCCAGTCTTTGCTGCTGCCCTGCCTTGTGTTCAGCTGAGCTGCAAGGCTCCCTCTCTGTCAGATTTGCAGCAGGGACACCAAGAGCAGAGCTGAGCCAGCCCACAGGACCCTGTGGGGCCCTGGCAGCCCCTTGTTCTCTGTCAGCCAGGTCTGAGGAGCACCAGCTGCGGTGGGAGTGCTGAGGGTGGCTGCTCTCAGCTCTCAGGTGTGGGATCTTCCATCAGGATCTGGCCATTCCCTCCCAAGGACCTGCAGCAGCACTGAGGATTTTGCCTTGGAGGGGAGGATGTTGTTGGTTTCAGGCCTTGGCTGGGGTTTTATTCTTTTTCCTTCACCAAATCCATAATTTAGCAGTGTGACGTTCTCAGAAGGGGTCTGTTCTGTGAGGGAGGATGTGGAAGAGCACAGGCTGTGAGAGGCACAGCACGCAGCTGTGCAGTGCCAGGGCCAACTTTTGAAGCACCTTTTGATTAAGGGCCTTGTGTGGCAGAGCTGTGGATGTGCCTGTTCTGCCCAGCAGTGCCTGAGGAGCTGCTGAGCCCACACAGGACAATTTCGGTTGCAGGGTCAGAGCTGGGCTGCATAACAAAAGTGGTGCTGTAGGTGGCTCCTCCCAGGTTACCTGAAATGGAAATAAAACTTCAAATGTAGCTTTTGTGTCATGGAACAGCACTGAATATTGGCCTCTGTCCTAACTTCTAATTTAATTGTATTTTTCTGGGAAAATTGAGGTGCTTCATTTCACCAGAGCAATCACTTTAGATCCAGCTGTGGGGACGTTTGAAAGCTGGAGCTTCAGGTTTTCCCATGGAGTATTGCAAATATTCTCCTATCCCAAGGCTTCATTATCCTTTGGGAAAAGCACCATGTGAAATGCTTTTCCTTTCTGAACTGCATTTGTTCAAAGGCATGGCAGTGTTCAAACAGCTGCTGAATGTTCTCTCTCAGTCCTGCAGTCAGTGCAAGCGCTGGCAAAAGCAGCAGCAATTAAAAATACCCCTTTTATTTTTATTGATGACAGCTCAGTACAGTTATGGTCTCACTGTAAGACACTCAGAAAAGCTGATGTGACTTATAAGAAAAACTCACAAACAGTAAAAAGACTGTTCCACGGATTCATCAGGTGGAGGTGCCACGTCCTGTCAGTAAGGCTGAGCTTCAGTTCATGTTTTATGTCCTTCCTGCAGTGATGGACATCTAAGAAGTGTAAGAAATGTCCTGCTGGCTCAGGTGGTTTAGATTTTAGCTCATATATCATCTCTTTGTCTCCTTAGTTTTGTGAGGTTTTTCATAAGCCCTTCACCACCAGCTGGCACTGCTTGCTGGGCAGAGCTGGGTGTCACCTGCAGCCCTGGTGCTTTCACTGCTGCCTTTACTGCCCATCCTCACCTGGGGCTGGGCCAGGCTGGGAGCCCTGGCCTGGTGTTCCTGGGCTGAGGAGTGAGCAGAGGGCTCCACTGCCTGTCTCTGGTTTGGTGTCCATGGAAAGGTGTCCAGGGAGAGGTGTTGATGGAAAGATGTCCCCTGAGAGGTGTCCATGGAAGGGTGTCCCCTGAGAGGTGTCCATTCATGAAGAAGTGTCTATGGATGGAGAGGTGTGCCCTGAGAAGTGTCCAGGGATGGAGAGATGTCCATGGATAGAGATGTGTCCATGGATGGAGAGGTGCCCCTGAGAGGTGTCTATGGATGGAGAGGTGTCCATGGAAAGGTGTCCAGGGAGAGGTGTTGATGGAAAGATGTCCCTTGAGAGGGGTCCATGGATGGAGAGGGGTCCATGGATGTAGAGGTGTCCATGGATGGAGAGGTGTCCCTGAGAGGGGTCCATGGATGGAGAGGGGTNCCATGGATGGAGAGGTGTCCCTGAGAGGGGTCCATGGATGGAGAGGGGTCCATGGATGGAGAGGTGTCCCTGAGAGGGGTCCATGGATGGAGAGGTGTCCATGGATGAAGAGGTGTCCCCTGAGAGGGGTCCATGGATGGAGAGGGGTCCATGGATGGAGAGGTGTCCATGGATGGAGAGGGGTCCATGGATGGAGAGGTGTCCCTGAGAGGTGTCCATGGATGGAGAGGGGTCCATGGATGGAGAGGGGTCCATGGATGGAGAGGTGCCCCTGAGAGATGCTTGTCTCAGGCCCTGCTGTAGCTCTGCATGCTCACACCCTGAGCTGTACAGGTCAGACCAGATGCTGACAGCCCTCATCAGGAGCTGCACCTGAGGTGCTGCTGGTCACAGAGTGGTTAATTACCCCAGAGTGCTTAATTACCCCACAATCACCCTGTGCCCTTGGCACCTGCCTGTGCTTTTGTGGGAGTATTTCCCTGGGATGTGCCAGGGATGTGTAACCCTTCTGTTGTGAGTGCAGTGTTTGTTGTAAGAGGAACAGGAGCTCTGTCTTACGCCATAAATACCCAAGAAGTGAGATAAGGAAGTTCAGGCAGGGCAGGATAACCTGTGCCTGCCTCTCCCACTGCCAGGCACTCCTGCTCTGGCACAATTTGCCAGCCCAGCAGTTTCCTTGGGGTGAATAACCACAGAGAGAGGGATCAGCCAGGCCACTGCTGCTGGTTCTGCTGCCAGCTCTGGGGTGATGTGTGGCTGATCCTGTTGGATCTCCCCTCAGCAGTGGGACAGGGAGCACTGCTTCCCTCTGCAGCTGCTGCTGGTGGGGTTTTCCTTGCCTGAATTACTAAAGGAGGATTTTAAGGCTTTTCCTCTCATCGAGTCTCAAAAGCCTCGAGTTGATCCCTGAGATGTGCAAATGCTGAAACCTATCCCTGCCCCCCCTCACATCTGGTTATGATCAGCTGTGGGATTTACTGAATATTGGGTCCCCACAGCTTCCTTTTCCCAGGGGAGATTTAGATTTCCACCCCTCCTTGTTTACTGTAAAAACCACTGATGTTGCATGTTAAAAGAATTAAGTCCAGGCAAGGAGGATGTGGATCACAGGCTGCGTTCCCAGCAGCAGCCACCCAAGAGGGACACTCAGGCTGGGAGCACAGGGCAGTGAAGCTGGCAGGGTTCAGATCCAAGCAAAGGTGCAGAGATCTGGCAGAGATCTTTGCAAGTGCTGTAGGAAGTTGGTATTAATGTTGACACAATCAGTTCTTTTCTGCCTCCTTTTAAATTCTTTGATATCAGTTGGAAAAGGTTCTCAGATGGAAAGGAGGGTGTGAGGAGCTTGTCAGACAATGCTGTGGAGAGGCATCTGCTGTGCTGAAATGCTCCTGGCCGTGGTGGGTGCTGAGGTTTGGGCTGAAATCAGATCTTGCTGGGGTTCTGCAGCCTGGCTGATATTCTGCTGGAGATTTTTGCCATTGCTCACATTCCTCTGGTCTCTGCTTGGAGCAGACACCAGCAGCTCCCTGCTGCTGCTGCAGGTACCTCGCTCAGCCAAGCTTATAGCCAGCCAGTGAGTGGGAAATCCCTGAATTCCACTTTCCTTCCCCACTTTGGGTTTATTGGAGGCTCCAGGCAGGGATTGAAGGACCATTGCAGTGGCTCAGGTGGCTGCAGTCAGTGTTTGTGTCACAACTGATCCAACCTTTGATGATATCACAGAACTCCTCACGCTCTCAGTTTATCCCCATTTTTGTTTTCCCTGGCTCTGAGTGTTTCCCATTGCTTGAGTCTCCATCTGTTCATCTGGAGGTGATACATACCCTGAAAATGAGAGGGAATGGAGCTGTGCCTGAGTCTCCAGACAGCCCTGATCCTCCATCAGGATCCTCCTTTTCTCTCTTTCCATCTGGGAATGACTCTTTGCCCTAAACCCCACAAGGAATATTTGATATGCCAGGTTCCCTTAACCCTCACTGCCATGGCTGATGAGGTGGGAGCAAATCCCTGCCCCTGCCTTTGGGCAGGGCAGGATAAAGGGGGTGTGGGTTCGTGTTGCATGGATTCATATCCCTGGAAATTTGAATATTTCTCTATTTCCAGCCAATTGTGGGAGGAGCAGAGTGCTGAATCCCTTTTCCAGAGGAGAGTGGTGAGCCCAGGGGTACTGCTAGGTGTAGGGAACCTACATTTTAGGGATGTACATGTTACTGGCCATGAGATAATGCAGCCTTGAGACAGGAAATCCCAGGAGATGCAGCAGTTCCTGCCATCACTCATGGAAGTACTTGCTTTGCTTAATTTATGAGCACTGCATCATCTGGAGACCCCAGCTGGAGACCTCTCATCTTCAGCCTTTGTAGCTGGGAGGGGAATCCTCAGCCTTGTGCAGAAGGGGGGAGTTTTTGCTGGGAGGAAGCCGAGGGCTCATCCAGGGCTGCCAGCGGGAGAGGGGCTGGGTCAGTGGGGCTCAGAAATCCTGGGGTCAAACCCCTTGTCTGCCCTCTGCCACCTCCCTGCCTCCCTCTGCTCTCTGTGCCCTCAGGAGCACAGACAGAATCAAAGGATCCAGTGGGCAGAGGCAGCCCTGTGGCTGCTGCAGCCCAGCTTTAAACCCTGCAGCTCTCCTGATGCTGCAGCACAGCTCTGCTCCTTCCTGCTGCTTTTGAGACAGCTCAGACTCTGTGCTCAGCATCTCCTCAGGGATCTGGCATTTGCAAGCAGCCAGGACTGTGCTGTCACGTGTGTGGAAAACATGATCCAGATCCCTGCTTTTCACAGGGGTTTGGGTTTGGTTTCGGGGTTTCTGTTTGTTTGGTTTTTCTTTGGAATTTCGGATTTTTTATAATTTTTGACCACAGTTGTTTCTGAGAGTTCAGACCTGAGCAGCAATCCCCTGCCCAGGGTTCTGCTGTGGTGGCTGCCTGCCAGCTGTTGGATCCAGAGCTGCAGGAGCCCTGGAATTGCTGTGTCAGGCCCTGAGCAGAGCCTTGGCCGAGGACAGCCCCAGAGTCACCCTTGCAGTGCTCAGAATGTGTGTGCACGATGTGCCCAGCCCTGTGTGCCAGGGCTCTCAGGGAGGTGGGAATCCTGCACAAATCCCAGCTCACAGCTCTGCTGGGATCCTGGCTCTCTCTGTGAGCCTCAGTTTCCCTCTCTGGAAAGTGCAGAAATCCCAGTGGTGGTTTTATAAAGAGCTCGGAGATTTAGGACTGGTCACTCCCAGGTAAGAGAAAACCAATTGCTGGGAGCACCTGGGACACTTCACCTCTCTCTGAGGGAAGCTCCAGCCTGAGCCAGGAGCACCTCTGTGTGATGGCAGAGGAGCTGCAGCTGCTTCCTGAGGCTCTCCTGGCTCTGAAGGAGACTGAGAGCATCTTGTCAGATTTGCTGGGACAGCAGCATAATTGTGCCCTGAAGCAGTATCAGGTTTCAGCAGAGGTTAAAGAAAGCAAATTCCGTGTGTTTCTGCAGATTACTGTTGTGGAATTCTTGACTTTGCAAACTTGAGCCTAATGGACTGGTGGAGGGAGAGGAATGAGGCTCTTATTAAAAGATAATAATATCTTTTAAAAAAGGCTGAACACTCACTCAGGGGCGATTTGAAGGAATCTTTGTCCTCTTGCTTCTGAAAATCCAGGTTTTTATGAGTTTAGGTAAACACTTGTGCTTTGTGCTGGAGGACAGTGTTCTCTGGGCCCAGGGAAATACCCAGAAGGAGCCTAACTCCCTTTGTGTCCTTTTCTCCCACAGAGCACGCTTCCCATGACTAACAGATGCTGGCCTAGATTATGAGCTCAAACAAGAGCGCTCGCTACAATCGTTTTTCCAGTGGCACCACCAACATCACTACTGCTGAGAACACTAACGGGGTAAGGCAAACAGCACAGCCCTGCTTCCTGGCCTCCCATCCTCCTTTTGGAACAGGCTCTTTGCCTGCCACTTAAAATCTCACTATTCACACTGTGTGTGCAGCATTTCAGCAGCCCAGGCAAAGCCTGAAGGCTTTAAATGCCCTGACATTGTTTTTTTTCAATATTTCAGACAAGAATGGAAACAACTTTTGGACCAGCCTTCTCTGCTGTGACCACCATCACAAAGGGTGGGTGTTTAATGTACTGAGTGTGGTTGTTGTCCTTTTACAGATGATAAAGCTGTTGGGAGAATCTCTCTGGTCATTAACCAGGTGTTGAGGGGCTGGTTTGGTGTGATGTGTCCTGACAGGATGGAAATGAGCAGGCACAGGAGTTTCCTCTCCCCAGGCAGACTGAGCAGCACCACTGGGAAGCCTTTGCTGAAAGCAGAGTAGTACAGCAGGGTTTGATGCTGAGCTCAGCACCAAGTCTTATTGATCCCTGTGACAATCATCACCAATGCTGAGAATTTCCATCTTCCCTCTGTGCCTGAGTGTGAGTCACTCTGGAGCTTTGGTAAAACCCCATGGTCACTTTTAGCTCAGACAGGAGGGAATGCAGATGTCCCTGCTCATTTACAGTTCCTGTGCCTTGTTCCTCAAAGCTCAGCAGGTGAGGGGAGCCTGAGCCCTGGCACGTGGGGGGAATGTAGGGAGAGGCCTGGTTTCATTTTGGGATACAAATATCCTTCCTTTAATAGAAACAAAAAGACTTGACACTGATTTTGATAAGGATATGAACATCTCCCTGAGAAAAATGTTTGGATTACATTTGTCCTGGACTTGGATGGTTTTGGACTCCCAAATATTTACATTCAGACTTTTATACGTATCAGAGTCAGTTACATGATCTCTATACAAATATTTCATATTTAATTTAGCATGGCTCCCCTGTGCCTCAGGGATATCCAGACCTCCCTGGATCCAGGCAATTTTTGCTGGTGACTGAGATACATGGGAGTATAAGGTTTCCTTTTAATAGTATTTTTAAGGATATTACCTATGCTCTTTTCTGGGCAAGCTCTCAGAGATCAGGGTTGTTCTGCCTGTGCTGATACATCCAGTCATGAGCCAGCATTGCAGAATCCCCAGTCTTTTCCTCTTCTAAGGAACACTTACAGCTACAGAGGCTGTCCCATAGCTTGGCAATGTTTCTGAGGAGCCTAACTGCTTGTTTTTCCTTTTTAATTCCCTTTAAAGCTGACGGGACCAACACTTTCAAGCAGCACCGCCGGACCCCGTCCTCCTCCAGCACCCTCACGTACTCCCCACGGGACGAGGATGATGGCATGGTAGGTGTGGGCAGGACCCTCCTGGCTGGCTTAGCAGAGCAGAGGTGAAATGAGAGCTGTCTGGAGCTCCTTTGGTCTCCTCTGCCTCCCTCAGCATTGTCTGTGATGTGTGCCCCAGAGGCAGGACAGCCTCAGCATTGCTGCTGCCATGGGGAAGCAGCTCATTCTCACCTGGGCTGGAGCTGCTGCTGCTGCTTTTCACACTGCTTGAGATTGTTGTGGGGGTCCAAAGCCTGGGAACTACAAATCCCAGAGGCTCCTTGAGAGGCAGCACCTGGCTCCTGGGAGAAGCAGCCCCTGCCAGGATGTCTGGGCTGTGACTGGGCCAGGCACTCTCTGTGCTGTGTTGGATGGATCCCAGCTGGCTCTGCACTTATGGCCAGAGAATCCATTCCTATTCCCACCTCCAGATGGGGCCTCTGACCACAGGGAGAGGGTTTGATACTGCAGATTGGGATGTTGGCCACTAAGGGCTGTGCTGGGCTTCCCACACAAACCATTCCTGTGTCTCCCAGTGTCTTGGTGGTAAAGCAGTTCCCAATTTTGTATCCAGTTTTATCACTCACTTCTGAGCAAGTTCTTTTTGGGTAATTTAGTGATTCAACAGTCTTCAGGGTTAGCTGCTTGGAGAGAAATTAAATTAGGTAAATCAGTTAAATCAAGAACAGCAACAGCAAAGCAAGGATGACAGAAAGGATGGACTGCTCTGAGGGTGGGCCTTGTCTTGTCCCTGGTGCTCCAGCCACATCTCACAACCACAAGCTCTGTTCAGACCTAAACATGTTAGTAACAAACTTCAAATGAAGTGTTTGTAGAGTTAGTCAAGTTACAAGACCCAATTTCCAAGCTAGGGATAAAAGGATCATTGCTGCTGGAGTTAGAGACTGGGGTCAGCAACAGTGTGGAGCTGCAGCACTTCTTAAAATAAATTTGACACCAGATTGCAAAGAATTTTATTGTCAGCATCCTATAAAGTTCCTTCTGTTGCTCAGAGATCTTGCTGTGTTTTATGTGAGCCCGTGGGGGTTTTGTTTGTTGTTGGTCTTTTCTCTAACAAGCCCTTTGAAAATGTGCCTGGTGTCCTTGGCAAGTGCAGCTCTCCAGCCCGCTGCTGACCCCACGAGCTGGGCCAGGGCTCAGGCCGCCCCTGGCTCTCAGCACAGACCCTCTGGGCCCTTTTCACAAGCTGGGCAGCTCTCACAGGGCAGAGGGGAGGATTTTTCCAGAGGAGGGGAGGCTGTGAATATTTCATTGAGCCAGGTCTGATAAAGAAACTCCCTGACTCCTTTGGAAACCCCGCTGGCACGAACTGGGGTGTGCAGCCAAGAGTGGGGGAGATCTCTGCTGGGAGCCAGCTTCAGTCCTCTTGGACAGTCTCAGCCCACTTCCCCCGGAGTGTTAAATATTCTTCAGCAAAACCAGTGAGAGGATTAATGAGTGGTTCAGGAAGCAGCGTGAGGTGCTGACAAACCAGAACCGCCTCGGTCCTGCTCTGCCTGCTGCTCCAGGCAGACTCACTAACCCTCTTAGGAAGCTTCATTTGCTTTGTCAAGGAATAATCTGGGATTTCCCTTCCTCATCACTGAGTTTTCCCTCCTCCAGAAGCTGCCAAGGGCTTCTCAGCCATCAGAGAGACAGCTGGAGAGGAGTCAGAGCCCTCCTGTGACCTCCA